AATACAGTTTATTATAATAATGTCGTATTATTTTTTATGAGTTTTTGGTTTTTCCTACTCATATGTTTAATTTTGGTAAAAAGTACTCAATATACACGGTAATGATGATGAGTTAATTAAATTGGATATAATTTTGTTAAATTATATTAATTTTTGTTATATTAATATAGTTGTAGTCGTATATATAATTTTTTTTTATATTTGTACAGTACAAATATATAGTACAAATTGTACTAGTAACTTTCAATGTTGTTTACATTTGTTTGATATAATAAAAATACCAGTATTTTACTGGTATTCCGGTTTTAAAATAAAAAATTACCGAAATACCGGTATTGGAATTTTTCATCGGTATTGCATTCCCTAATGCCATGTATACGCCATCGTACACACAGGTCGTCAAGCGGATGTCGCTACATTCAAGTAAGTTATTAATATCCAATTTCTTGTAAATCAACCCTTATAGTAAGTATGCAAATAAAAAGGGTGTAGATCGCGACCAGAAAAAATCAGTAGCTATTAAATAGCAGATCAAATACTAATATAAATATATTAAAATTAAATAATATTTAAATAAAAACACTAATAAAAACTATTTCTTTTAGCTCCATTAATAATTATCTATCCATTACATTACCTTCATTATCTTGCACTGTGCTACACCTGTGACGGTCAAAGGAACCCCCTGAGCGGTCTCGACGCTTTCGCACATCGGATTCAGTGTCATCACTTCAAGCGACAGCCTCTGCACGTCCGTCACCAGGCACCAGGCCCATGCCCAGCCGCCGACGATTGTACGCTTCTTTGTCGAGCCGCAGCACCCACCTGAATAATAGATAAATGATTGGTAAATAGTGAGGGCAATCTGAAAAATATAATAAAGGTCATATATGAGTAAGAAATATTACATTTTTCACAGTAAATAACAAAGACATTTTTGCAAAAATCCATTACCTCACTATTAACTTTTATAGTTTTGCGCTAAGTTTGTTTTTAGATGATTTTAGAAGTTTACAAGTAACAAGTGACACATAACAAATACGTATGTTTGTTATGACGATTTTAAATATTTGTTATGACGACTAATATAAATGAACATCCTTAAATATAAAAGGCCGGCAAAGAATAGTTCAATTATAACAATTCATGATTAAAAGAATGCAGTTCGAATCAAAGGTTCCAGATTCGATGCCCATCCCGAACAGATTTGGGCTTGATGTCAAACAACAGTGACATCGGTTTTTATTTGAAAATATAGATAGCAGTATATTTCCAAGCAGAAATAGTCTTTTACCAAGCAATTCATGTGTATTACAAAAATTTTAATAAAAAATCAGCAATAGGAGATGGAACAATCGATTGGATGTCATATAAAGCCTCTTGGTTTGAAGTCAGCATCAGTGGTTAAGTTCTGATTGCTAATAAAAATAAGTATAAATATGTAAACAAAACTTTATTAAGTAGAGTAATTGATGTAGGTAAATGAATCACTGAATTAGCCCTGATAAGGTAGAAACATCCGTCAGCCATTTATGAAATTCTCCATCGCACGTTTCAGCTCGGCTGTCACTGACCGCGTCTTTGTGCTTGCGCTGGTTTGTCTTTTATTTCTTACACGTAATTTTTCTAGGTCAGATAGATGGATAGAACCATGCACAACGCCAATATATTTAATATATATAATAATGATTCACGATGTTGTGCTGATGTGAGAATTAGAAAATTCTGATTCTATTTCGTTCTTCAGTTAAACATTCTGAATAAAGAAAATAAAAGTAAGTTGAGCGAAAGTATGTAGATAACTTTTCTACTCATACTTGCCACATATACTCGTACATGTTTGTAAACCTTAGATTGATGTTGAGGCTACAACAGGAGCTTAAAAAATATCTTTGGAAATGCAAACCAAATTGGTAATATATAAAATACCAAATTAATAATAAAAATGAAATAAATATACTACTAATTTGTAAGCTTCAGCTTAGTTAATCTTAAGTCTACTAGTCTTACTAGTCGTTTCAAAACCAGGTAAATCGTGAAAATAAATATATTATTAATTATTAAGCTCACACTTGCCACATATACATGTTTGTAAACCTTAGATTGATGTCGAGGCTACAACAGGAGCTTCAAAAATATCTTTGGAAATGCAAACCAAATTGGTAATATATAAAATACCAAATTAATAATAAAAATGAAATAAATATACTACTAATTTGTAAGCTTCAGCTTAGTTAATCTTAAGTCTACTAGTCTTACTAGTCGTTTCAAAACCAGGTAAATCGTGAAAATAAATATATTATTAATTATTAAGCTCACACTTGCCACATATACATGTTTGTAAACCTTAGATTGATGTCGAGGCTACAACAGGAGCTTCAAAAATATCTTTGGAAATGCAAACCAAATTGGTAATATATAAAATACCAAATTAATAATAAAAATGAAATAAATATACTACTAATTTGTAAGCTTCAGCTTAGTTAATCTTAAGTCTACTAGTCTTACTAGTCGTTTCAAAACCAGGTAAATCGTGAAAATAAATATATTATTAATTATTAAGCTCTATATATATAATAATTTGTTCTATTATATAATAAGTTATTAAGCTCTATATATAATAATTTGTTCTAGTTAGGATATTGTTAATACTTTACCAGTCGCTTCCAATGAAAAATATTTCATTGAAATAAAATGATAGGATACAATCTGCAAAAATCGTGTTGATATAAATAAATATAATATACAAATGTTAATTTTCTGTAGCTCTATTTAAAGAAAATGTTAGTTTTCGCTTAACAATACTGATAATTTCTATTTTCCGTAAACTAGCCGGTGACAAACAAACCCATGCAAAGTTAAATTTGTGATAACATTGGTAATTAATATATGAAACAGAACCCGGGAACCAATGAACCGAAGATGAACCAATAACAAGTTGTAAATTACCGAATGGGCTGATTGTAAGTTGAAATTAGCAACGACCGTTTAACTCCCATACTATGATGACGACTTTGTTCTTTGATCGTTTAACGGTAAATGATGAGTTATTCAGAAGGAGTAACGAAAACGAAGAAAATTGAAGAGCGTAGAGATGGTAGATGGTTAAGTCGCCTGAGTAAATGAAACTCGATGGAAACCAGTCAGGTCATCGAATCAGACGGACTGAATTCCGCTCGACAGTATTCGAATGTTGCGCAGGTTATGTGGAACTAATTTCAAATCCATAAACATAAAAATTAAAAATATATTATTTATTAACAGTCAACAGTGACAATTATTATCAATGTGATAGTTATCGGTTTATGCGATATTAATTATTTTATAAATAATTGTTTTGTGTTCGAAATGTGAGGATAACGTGATAGTTAAACAATTTCAGTGAGGTAGGATTTTATATAATTTATTTTCATTTTTAAAATAACTATAATTTAATACTTTAAAATTTAGCAGCTTATATTTTATAATAATCTTTAAAACAATAAACTTATAAATTAAAATTAAACATTGCACCTTAAACATAGCGATTAAACCAGTTGAAATGTTATTTTTCAACTATTCATTTTATACCGACACAGCCTCAAAATATTCTACAAATCTTGAAAATTAAGTTTATGTTTTTTTCTCATTTCAAAACTTGCAATATCAATAGCCAATTATCAAGGATTCATATGCATGACGAGTATATTCGTCAATACACAGAATTCTGCTTCTTCTCCATGACGATTATACAGTTAACTGGTTAAAAAGCATGATTACACACATTATAATAGTATCGGCAGCTTATATTTACGATCTGCGAAATAGATAATAAATGACATTAAAATAATTTATATGACGCCGCTGGAGATTGCAATTTAAGTACAGTTATTCGTTGTATTTAAACGTATCATTTCTTTCACAGTGTTATTGATTGACATTATAGGAACCAGTAAAACCGTTATAAACATAAAAAAATCATAATATATGTTATTATAGATTTTGTTTAGTTGAACTATGATTTACAGTTATGAATGTTCATGAATATAATGAAACTTGAATTATTTGTCTCGGATATGTGTAATTTTTGAAAATTGCACTAATGACACTCAAATGTTAAGAAACTTTATCCTATAAAAATAACAAACGTTTTTAAGATGAATTTTGAAACCTTATCTGCAATAAAATCGCAATCGGGTGTTCGCGCTATAAATTTCGTTGACAGCAGAAATTTCTTAATTTTTATCACCCTGAGTAAATATTAATATTTATAAGAGTCCGTTACGGTGGCCTCATTGTGCGACAGAAATGTCAATCGAATCACGATCGTGACACCAAAATCAGGTGAAATGTGTACCTATTGAGCCTAACAATAATGCTAAGAGTCGGCCGAGTCGATCGTCCGGCGTACGTGCAGCGCGCACAGATTGGTCGTGCTCCACGCTTCCACGGCACCTATTATGTCGTGAAAGCAATCACCTTAATGAACCGAAGAAAGTTAAATGCTTTCACTAAATCGTTTTTAACAATATTTGTTTATCTTATATATTCTGTGCATACTCCTTACTCACAAATAAATATTCATATGCCGGCAAATAGTAAAAATCTAAGCGTAACGACATGAATGACAAAAATTGCACAGTAGTTTAACAAAAAAAAGAAAAAGTATTATTTTAAAAAATCAGGTTTAAATTATGATATAATTATTGCATTAGTTTCATATATAAGTCAAAATCGATTAAAATTTATTGGACAATAATTTCGATATACACAGAATTGTTTTCAGAGATTTCAAAATCAAAAACGATTATTTTTAACTTCATCAACATTAAAGATTACGTGTTGTTATAGAAAAGATTACATTTACCGCGTTAATTATACATATTGTAAGAAAATACATTTATTGAGGGCAATTAATAATATATTGTATAATTCCAGATGCAGGATAATACTATTAAGCAGACTTAGTCAATATTGAATATGTGAGAAATCTCGTTTGTTTATCAAGAAGACGAATCGAGATGAGCGCCATCGTAGGAGCCGCGAGTGCCATCGGCGCCGCAACGGTCAGCGCGGCAACGAGCGTCGGCTGGTTCATGCCCATGCTGGTTGCCGCGATCGCATACTTCCAGTACGAAATGATGGACCCGGAATCGAGGCCGATAGATGTACCTAGCGATGAATTATTAAGCGCGTATGATTTTATTGTGGTCGGGGCAGGATCTGCAGGTATTATTCACGAATTCACGTATATATTAATAATAGATTAAATGAAAATAACAATTATCTGTCGACAGGAGCCGTTGTTGCCAACCGATTGTCAGAAGTTGAAAACTGGAATGTTCTATTACTAGAAGCCGGTGGTGATGAGACTGAAATATCGGATGTGCCACTATTGGCTGCCTATCTGCAATTGAGCAAACTTGATTGGAAATATAAATCTGAACCGCAAGGAACCGCATGTTTAGGTGAAACATTCTACACTCCGAAAATAATTTTTCATATAACTGCAAATGATGTAATTTTTATTATTACCGCAGCAATGAATGGAGGAAGATGCAATTGGCCGCGCGGCAAAGTCATCGGTGGCTCTTCAGTTCTGAACTACATGCTTTACGTACGCGGGAACAGGAATGACTATGATAATTGGGAACAACAGGGTAATCCTGGATGGGGATACGATAACGTGCTGAATTACTTCAAAAAGTCAGAGGACAATAAAAATCCTTACCTCACAAAGACTCCTTATCATTCTGAAGACGGATATTTGACAATTAGTGAAGCACCCTACCATACGCCATTGGCCGCGACTTTTGTGCAGGGTGGAGTAGAAATGGGCTATGTTAATAGAGATATTAACGGAGAAAAACAAACTGGATTCATGATAGCACAGGGTAAGTATTTTATAAAAAAAAATTATTTCACAAAATCAGTGTCTATAACAGTTTCAAAAACTTGAAATTTTCAGGAACGATTCGTCGTGGTAGCCGTTGCAGCACGGGAAAAGCGTTTTTGCGACCCGCTCGTCTTCGTAAAAATCTCCACGTATCAATGCATTCACACGTCACAAAAATAATGATAAATCCTACAACTAAGGAAGCTTATGGCGTCGAATTTGTTCGTGACCGCAAATTACACAGAATAAGAGCCACTCGCGAAGTGATTGTTTCGGGCGGATCCGTCAACTCTCCACAAATTTTAATGCTATCTGGAATAGGACCACAGGCTGAACTAACTAAACATGGCATACCGGTCATTCAAGATTTACAGGTTGGCGAAAATCTTCAGGATCATATAGGATTAGGCGGTCTCACGTTTATGGTTAATAAACCTGTATCTATAGTAGAAAATAGATTTCATTCCATATCTACCGCCATGCAGTACGCAGTATTTGGAGAAGGTCCTCTCACCATTTTAGGAGGAGTGGAAGGGCTTGCATTCGTCAACACAAAATACGCAAACACGTCAATGGATAATCCAGATATAGAATTCCATTTCATATCTGGATCCACTAATTCGGATGGAGGTGGTCAATTAAAAAAAGCGCATGGCTTGACGGACGCGTTTTATGAAAAAGCATTTGCTCCAATCAATAATATGGATACTTGGAGTGTGATACCAGTATTGCTGCGTCCAAAAAGTCGTGGATCAATCAAATTGCGTAGCGCAAATCCTTACGATTATCCCTATATATATCCTAATTATTTCTCCGACGAACAGGATATCAAAACACTCGTAGAAGGTGTGAAGATAGGTATGGCGTTGTCGAGGACTAAAGCTTTCCAAAGATTTGGTTCCGAATTGTCTCACTATGTATTTCCGGGATGCGCACACATACAAAAATATACCGACAAATTCTGGGAGTGCATGATAAGGTATTATTCAGTGACAATTTATCACCCTGTAGGCACGTGTAAAATGGGCCCTTATTGGGACCAAAATGCCGTTGTCGACCCCAAATTAAGAGTGTATGGAGTAAAAAGGCTTAGAGTTATTGACGCTAGTATTATGCCCAATTTAGTGAGTGCGAATACTAATGCGCCAGCCATAATGATTGGTGAAAAAGGCTCCGACATGATCAAGGAATTCTGGCTCAAACACCCAACGTTCCTTCGATATCACACAGAATAATTGGAATTCAACACGAAAAAGACTTTTTAAATGTTACTAGAGTGTCATACGATAAAAAAAATACTGAAAGAACCATGCTAATATGGCCATTGAAATATTCAATGAATCAAGTGATAAAATAATACAGTGGTATTTTTAAGAACTTTTGTTTCAAAGTTTTATAATACTCGTATGAGAACTATTAAATTGAATTTATATTATCAAAATATATGTCTGTAAGATTTATACATATAGAGTTAAGTAAATTATTTTTTATATTAATCATTTAGTTTTTTTTAGTAATTTTATATGAGTTATCAATATATAAACTAGAACATTTTTTAATTAAAAAGATGGCTATTGACCCGTCGATGAATATTAAGCATATATATATACCTTGCAAAAAATAACTAACACAAACAATACTGTTACAAACTTTGATAGTAATTTGAATAAATTTTATCATATTACATTGAATTAGATTCTTCGTGGATCAGAATAAAAACGATAAATCGCCGATGCAGCACAACAGACCTAGAACAAAGCCGGTGAAAAAGTGCAAAGAACTTGTTAGTGACGAAAGATTTTGCAAACGAATCGCCACTAAATGTGCATTATATAAGTATACATTTAAAATGTGTATTTATTTTTAATAATGTGTGAACGTTAAAAAAAGTGATTTTTCATTGGATGATTTTGACAAAATATATTTAATAATTATAAAAGTCTGATAGATTTTCTAGAGATTGTTTTAATATCATAACACTTAATAAAATTTTGGTAAGTTTATATTTTTTATATATCAACTAGTATTAGATCATTTATTTTTGAAATATAGTATTGCAATAATCAAATTAATCATTTTAGAAATTTTATTTCTTCGGGACTTTTAATAAATTCATTAAAAATGGCCGTAGAAGGATTATTCTCTAGTATGCGCATTTTATTATCAATGGCGCCAAGTTTTGCTTTCATGCTGTTATTGCACAATTCTATAAATCAGCAAAGACCAGATATAGTAGACCCTGAACATAGGGTCAAAGACTGTGAGATACCAAATCTCAGGGAAAAATATGATTTCATAATAGTTGGAGGCGGATCAGCGGGGGCGGTCCTCGCAAACAGGCAAGTACGAAATAAGTAACTAAATCATTTTTGACTTTGGAAGTTATTGCAAATATGCCAGTATGATATTTGGTACTATACTGTTATACTATAAAATATTGGTAATAACAGAATAACAGAATTTATTCAATTTGTAACCATACAAATCTAAATATATCATTGTGGGTCAGATTATCGGAGAATCCGCATTGGAATGTGCTTTTGGTCGAAGCTGGTGGCGACGAAGGCTACATGTCGGACATCCCATGCATGTTCGCGGCATTGCAGCAGACGCATATCGATTGGAACTTCAAAACAGAACCATCGGACAAATATTGTTTAGGCAAGTTTGCTCGGCATGAACAATAATAAAATCAACTCACATTCCAAGTGAATATCACGCTCGATTACAGTAATATAAAGATGCGATACCATGCCATAACTCGATTTGGTATAATACAATATTAAAAAACTCCAACCTTCACAAAAAATAATGATATGAATGTAAAAATATATGGTATATTCATATTGGCATGACAAATTAATACAATTATAATTCTGCATGTTTGCCTGATAAAGTCAGTTCGCCTGGGTTACGTTGACACTCTCTACACATCTAAATAGTATACAAAGATCTGCACGAAGTTTATAAAAAAAATTATATGTATCAGATGTAATGTACTCATTGATAGATATAAATAAATAATAATGATATATAAATATAAATAATTTAGGTATGAAGAACCAACAATGCAATTGGCCTCGCGGTAAAGTGCTCGGTGGTTGCAGCACGATAAATGCAATGCTGTACATAAGGGGCAATCGAAGAGATTACGATAGATGGGCAAGCTATGGTAAAATAATTGTAATAGTTTATTGTGGGAATAATTTTGAAATAATTACATGCATAAATTAATTACTTGGTTCAGGAAATCCTGGATGGGATTACGCAAGCATTTTGCCATATTTCAAAAAATCTGAAGATATGCGAATTCCTGAGTTTCAAAATGAATATCATGGTGTGGGGGGCGAATTAACAGTCGAACATTTTCAATATTGCACTCCGATGATGGAGGCTTTTCTACAAGCAGGCAGAGAAATGGGATACCCCGTAAGAGATGTCAATGGAGAGTATCAGACGGGTTTTACACAAAGCCATGCAACTTTAAGGTGAATAGAACATATTGAACACTTTTATAAATAGAAAAATAAATAAATGAATATCAATAATGTATGTTTAAATTAATTTTAGAGATGGTCTTCGATGTAGTACAGCAAAAGGTTTTCTGCGTCCGGCAAGCCATAGGCCAAATCTTCATGTTTGCTTAAATGCTCATGTCGAATCCGTTCAAATCGATCCTTATACAAAACAAGCCACAGGAATCACGTTCCGTAAGCATTTTATACAGCACTCGGTAAAAGCATCCAAGGAGGTAATCGTATCCGCTGGTAGCTTGCAATCGCCGCAGTTGCTGATGCTGTCAGGAATAGGTCAGCAGGCACAGCTCCAGAAATTTGGCATTCCCGTCATTCATCATTCGCCGGGTGTTGGTGAAAATATGCAAGATCATGTTGCCATGGGCGGAGGGACTTACCTCATAGAGTCGCCACCCGATTTAGAATACGCATTTATTGTTCCAAAAATGGTTAATGAAGAATCGGTTTACAATTTTGTTAGAGATAAGAGCGGACCACTGTACTCTTTGCCAGAAGCGGAAGTAATGGCATTCATAAACACCATCTATGCAAATTATACAGATGACTATCCAGATATACAAATGTTTCTTAGTTCCGTTAGCGATAGTACTGACGGAGGAATGTTTGGTAAAAGAGACAATGCCCTCACCAATGATTATTACGCAGCGGTATATGAAAATATTCTATACAGGGAATCTTACTCGATAGTGCCATTATTGCTAAGGCCGAAAAGCAGAGGCAGCGTAAAATTGAAAAGTAAAGATCCAAAAGATCTACCTCTAATCTATCCAAACTACTTTGACCACCCTGATGACATAAATACCTTGGTAAGTCACATAAAATAAATGTTTTATATTTCGGTTCTTAAGATGATGGAATGAAAAGTATAATTAAATAATTTAAATCATCTGAAAAAATATTATTTTCAGATTGAAGGTGCAAAGTTCGCTTATGACATTTCCCAAACACCTATAATGAGAAAATTAAAAGCAACATTCAATCACAATCCCATACCGGGTTGTGCTCACTATCCGTTCGTGTCGGATGATTATTGGCGATGTCAAGCCAGACATTACACAATGACAATCTTTCACCCTGTTGGCACTTGCAAAATGGGCCCCCATGAAGATCCCATGGCTGTGGTCAATCCGCGGCTGCAAGTTTACGGAGTGAAAGGCCTAAGAGTGGTGGACGCCAGCATAATGCCGACGATTGTGAGCGGCAACACGAACGCTCCAACGATAATGATAGCCGAAAAGGCAGCGGACATGATAAAAGAGGATTGGGGCTACTATCAGTATCCGGCGCCCCAACAAAATATTGTATACCCGTACCCATTAAATGGGGTATATTGAGAACATGATGAATTATCAATAGAATCATATATTAACGAATGTAATTAACATTACTGATTAAACTAATTATAAATTTTCGAATAAAAAAGTATATTTTAATAGTGTTTTTACTACCTTCAAAATATCGAATAAATAACATATAAATATAGTAGAAGTAGCTTATAATTACTACCAAAGTTGCTTTTCATATAAAGTTTATTGTAAAAAAACAACCCATTATTAGTTAATCTGGGCATTATGGCCCATTATTAGTTAATCTGGGCTGCGTAATTATTATCACGATTTGTTGATAGCAATATTGAAAATTATATTTCAAGCATAGCGAACAATGAGGGACTGCTTTTACATTGCATAAGAATATTAATATAAATACTATAAAAATGCTAATAATAAAGATCCTGGTAACGCCAGGGTGCGAAACAAAAAAAATGTTTAATTAATATTATATATTTCTTTAATGATATTTTGTTTAAAATGCTCTTAACTGAGATAGAATGCAGTTGTTTGAGTGCAAAAACAATATACATTTTTGTAGAGTGCCCATTTGTTTTTTATTTTCTTGAATTTTTATAATAACTCAGACAACATTTTGATAAATACCTTGATGAGAATAAGACTATAATAAATTGTTTTCGTCCGTAGCATATAAGACAAAGGGGTCTAGGTAAGTAAAAAAAAACATACATATATGGAACATATATATATATATATATATATATATATATATATATATATATATATATATATATATATATTTATAAATAGATCCCCACTCTGAAGTGCTCGGTAAGAAACATAATGAGATAACAACGCAGCGTTATAGTTTACCAAGCGAACTGTGGTGGCAGATCAAAATGCAAACACTCTGAATAAATATTGTAATTATAAACATACAGTGTCAATAGGTTGTTCAGGTACAACACAAATAGAATTCGAGGTAGAATATCAATTGCACACATTGTATCGTGGCGCATCGTTCAAACCGGAATATTTGTTATAGAATTGTTTGAATTGATGTAGTGCAAGGAGGTTCATTGTTAACGATCGTTCCACAAAAACGGAAACAGTGCAATAGAAGGTAATTAGAAACAATTTTAATGATAATAATGATGTATTATATATATATATATATATATATATAAATAAACATTTATATATATATATATATATATAAATAAACATTTATATATATATATAAATAAACATTTATATATATATATATATATAAACATATAATAATATAACAAGTTTTTTTAAACATCCATCCAATTATTAAAACATGTTCTGCTGCTTTATTAATTGTATGGATTCCAAAACATATATATGCATGACTGTATTTTATATTATGATACCTACCTTTATTTTTTTATAATAATGTTATATGGTGAATATTAAATACAAAATTATAGAATAAAATGGTGTGATTAAACATATCATATTGTTTTATAATGGTGTAGAAATTTAATTAATTATAATCTAAACTATTAACTGATAAACGATTACTTCAACAAGTCATGGTTAATGCGTGTTTTCACCAGATGCGATACTTGACATAGATATATCGTTGGAAATATATGAAAATTGTTTTTTTCTTCAAAGTAAATTCAGCTTAATAATGCTTCATGTAGAATGTAGATAATAATATTAATACTATGCATAATTAATGCAAATGATATGTATATCATTTTCTACATATTTGTAAATATGAATTTTCATTATAAGCTATTGATTAATACTATTTACATTTATTTAAAAACATTTAATTTTCATTTTTTGTGCGATTAGAAAAAGTTTAAAAAAGTGATCAAGTATTAAAAAGCTTTTTAATGTTTTAGTTTATAATGAACATTATTTTATTTGAGTTATTTATGTATTTAGTTATGTATTTATTTATTATTATAAGAAATTAGGCTAAAACTATCAATATAATAGAAAAAGCAAAAGGTTGTATGTCCAATTCTCAAATATTCTCACCCTTGAATTTTTTTTTATATTTCTTCAAATAAATGTTTAACGTTTGACGATTGTTTAGATTTCAAACCAAGCTAGAATACATTGAAAATAAGGGCCGAAATGGATATGTTGGCCGAGCAATGCCCAGGGCACAGCACCGGAACGGCCGCGCATTTATTTATGACTTTATTACAAGCGCTTGTTGCATCGCAATGCGGCATTTCGAATCCAGAAATGTGGCCTGAAGATTACGGACCAAAGCTATCAGGTTCATTGACAAAATAGATGCTGAATTAATACCATACTTAATCGTCGAGCTAATGCAATCATGTGGTTTGTTCTTGATCATTTCTAGATGACGCGGAATACGATTTCATAGTAGTTGGGGCGGGTTCAGCAGGCTCAAAAGTCGCCGGACGGCTGAGCGATAACCCCGATTGGAAAATATTACTCGTCGAAGCCGGAGGCAATCCGCCAGTTAACTCAGAAGTAATATACACACACATTATATCTGATTAAAACATAACCCTTGTTACTTATATCAAAATTTCAGATTCCGGGACTTCTATTCTCAATTCAGAATACGAAAGATGACTGGCAATATTACACAGAACCAAGTCAAGACTACTGCATAAGCTTCAAGAATGGAAGATGTTTTTGGCCACGAGGAAAGATGCTAGGAGGATCGTCTGGAATGAATGCAATGCTTTATATTAGAGGAAACAGAAAGGATTACGATACATGGGAAGAACAAAACAATCCAGGCTGGGGATATGATGACGTAATAAAGTATTTCAAGATGTCGGAGGATTTTAGGGCCTCCCAAATAACAGGGGCAGACCATGAAAAATATCATGGAAAAGGTGGCGGACTGAAAATCGATATCTTTGATAATAAGGAACCCTTTAAAAAGCATTTAATATCAGCAGCGGAGGAGCTTGGCTATTCTTATTTAGATGATATAAACGGAGATGTACCAATAGGATTTTCTTCAGCTCAAGGTACATTAGATCGTGGTACAAGATGCAGTTCTGCTAAAGCTTTCTTAAAGCGCAAAGATAATTTGCATATAGTCAAACATGCACAGGCAACAAAAATTCTTTTCGACAAAGAACGAGCTACAGGCGTAGAACTTATTATTAATGGAACGATTCGTAGCGTCAAATCTAGAAAGGAAATCGTCATAAGTGCAGGAGCTATAAATTCTCCTCAAATCTTACTATTGAGCGGTATAGGTCCAAAAGAGCATTTGCAACGAATGAATATAAAATTAAAATTAGATTTACCAGTAGGAGAAAATTTGCAAGATCATTTTATAGTTCCTTTATGGTTATCGGTAAATAAAGAAAAATCTATAGAAATTCCACAAGAAATGATTATTGACGCCTTGTATATGTACTTTATGCATCGCAAGGGTCCACTGGCAGGCACAGGCTTGACCGATCTAGTCGGTTTTATAAATACTGAAGATCAGAATGCAAAGTATCCAAATATACAACTACATTTCATGTTTTGCAGGAAAAAAGATCCTTTGCTGCTTCCTGACCTGATCAATAAAATAGGCTATCAAGATGATGTAGCAGAATTATTATTAGAAGAAAACAAAAAAAATGATATCGTCTTAATAATACCAACGTTACTAAATCCGAAATCTGTAGGTAAAATTCAACTCAAAAATAATAATTCTACAGAACCTCCAGCAATATATCCAAATTATCTGAGTCATCCCGATGACATGAAAACTATTATAGATGGAATTAAGTTTGTACAGAAGTTTGTTACGACGGAGGCACTGCTTGAACAGAATTCTGAATTGATAGATTTAAAGTTATCGAACTGCATAAAAACGGTTAAATTTAGCGACGAATATTGGCAGTGCGTAGCTCGTAATACAGGGACGACCCTGTATCACCCGGCTGGAACGGTCAAAATGGGTCCGAAAGACGACCCTAGCGCTGTTGTGGACAGTCAGCTGAGGGTGCACGGAATCAAGGGACTCCGGGTTGCTGACACGAGCATCATGCCAAACATAGTCAGCGGAAACACTAACGCCCCGGCGATAATGATCGGCGAAAAGGCGGCGGATATGATAACGAACAGCTGGACGATACAGCATTCAGAACTATGATACTTCATTTTATACATCATATAAATGAAATATTAAGCTTTATATAATTTAACTTGTAAATAATTTTTGAATAAAAAATAAGGTAAATTTGTCAAAATTAATCATGGCCTACCTTTAACCATAATTAACTGACAACATCCACGTAAAACCATCCTAATCAGTGTCCCTTTCTGTCGGATCTTTTCATTATAAAACAAGAATACATAAAAAATGAAAAATAGTATTTTGAAACAATTTTATAATTGCTGTTACTGCAAGACAAGTACATACATATATTGCAACGCTACACGAGTTATTGGTCTTATAATATGAAGTCATATGATATTAAATTGATTGCAAGTGTTTGGAAATTTGTAATACTTGCACAGGCATGAAAGAGCAAAATAAACATGTAATACGTGAAAATATTATATATATATATATATATATATATGTGTGTGTGCGTGTGTGCGTATAATTATGATGTAACGTATAAAAGTTGAAAGATTAAATAGCTATGACAAACAAGATTGATAAAATAAAATTTGCCATAGTTTCACCAAGAAATGTCTTGGACATCTTTAAAACAATAAAAAATATAATGCAGCGTAAATAAATTTTATATTTCCTTTAGGATCTAATATACGTTATTTCAATTGTCGTTTGATTCGCACGACGATAAGTTGACATATATTTCCAAACAGTAATTACCACAATTTAAAATATACTAATTAGTTACTAATGTTGGTTTACAAATGATGAAACCAAATGAGGCAATGACTAACTATAATCACTAATAATTGTTGTGAAGATTATAGCGATGAATTGCATATAATACACACTTTCATTCTCATGCAATTTTACGGACAGTAACTTAACAGTTAACATTATATATATATATATATATATATATATATATATGCAATCTGCAATTAGTTTTAGATTTTTATAAAAATGAAAGTTAAAACTCACAATTTATTACATAAAAACCGAACCACTACCCTGAGAAGGTGTATTTAACAATTCGTTCGAAGTCCGTTTTTCTATTAATATTAATAAAGGTACTAAATATCTACCAGGTGTAGCCGTTAGAGTAAGCAGAAATTATTAAGGAGTAAAACAGAAGTAATGCAAAATATCTAAGAGAAGTGAATGAGACCTGAACTATCCAGTCATACATGATTAATTCAAAAGATAAAGCTCGGCCAATTTAACTTGGTAAAAACCACAAACTGGGATAAAATGTTCCGTTTGTTACGTGTGATTATTTGTTCGTCTTCTTGCTCCGAATTATTCAGTGGTGTAGAAATTTAGAAGGAAGTCTATCATTGGATATTTCCTCGCTTACATAAATGTGCCATTTAGCATGCATATGGGGATATGGCAGATTGGGCAATATGACAATATTTCCACCTCCTCCATTGATAAGTATCGGCCGAGCGCAACTTTAACATTTTAGTGTAACATCAATCGCCGCAGTGCATCGAACACGTGCTCGATACAACAGACAACAGACAACAGGCAACGGTTTTACATTTCGAAGTTATTTCGCAAAACCCAATAATAAAATCAATTCAGTGAATTATGAAAATATAATAATAACAGGTGAAATGTGAATAAGTTAACGTAAATGCTTCAACATTTGGCACATATAATAAGGATATTTGTTTAACAGGTAATTATAAGAATCACCGCACCAAATATATAATTAATAATTATTGATACTATAAAAACATATTAATATGTTTGTGCTAATATAATTTGAACAAAAATACAATATATGCACAGAAAATTTTTGGAGACTTTCTACAACATTTTTGATGTTGAAAAATAAGAATGACTAAAGATTTCAACATGTACTATTAAATTTATTATTTGCATTTTATAATAATTATTAATGGCATTTTTGCAAATTGAATATGTACAGTTTAACAAATAAAATAAATTAAGTTAAAGATATACAATAATAAGAAATAAAAAATAAATTCACTATAATTAAAGTCGGGAATTAATACTAATTTTATATATCACATATGAACATAATTTATATTATGAATTACGATTGTCCATCTCTAACCAGATATATAAGATTGGCGGATTTTGAATCATAAGCTCTTCGAGCCAATAAATGCTTAATTGATTTAAAATATATTTATGAAGTAATTAAATCATTTCAATTAGTAAAATTTTGAAAATAATTTTGTATTAAAAAATACGCCAAATAATCGGTAAATAAAAAATCAATAGCTCCATGGAGTAAGACGGATCAGATCATATTTTACCAACATAAATCCGTTGTTAATTATTTTGGAATTAGTAATGATTTTAGTGAATACTAACATTATGGGAGTAGTCAAAAAAAAACTTTACAATTATATTATCCTTAGTTCACCGTTAATTGAAATAAGTACTAATTTCGAGATAAATTTAAATAAAACGAATGATGACATCATTTCCGCTATTAAATATGCCATAACCGGATGATTTGCATATTTCAAGTGATAAAAAATTACACGAATGATTGTTATATAATTGAATAAGAATATCTGACACACATTCTCGAATTTGGGTAATTTTACGAGAAATGCCAGCGGTGGGCTACGTGACGATGTGCAGACGGTGCGCCATGGACGAATTTCCCAATAGCTTTCTAGTACCAGTGGGGATGTCTAAAACCATTTCGGTTTGCAAATAACAAATTGCCTAATGTGTTTGGAGGCAAACGGAAATCATTTCGGAAGCGGTGGGAAAAATATATGAATCTATTATTATTATGTACCATCGAATTAATAATAATTACTTGACATTATAAATCGAAATTTTTAATAACTCTACTGTTCGTGTTAGTTATATTTTCCATTTTCGTCAATGGTAGTATAAAAATCCAATTCTAATTCTAGTAATACCTATTCAGTATTTTTTGGATTAATTGGGATTTATAGTTGAATTAGTCGGTTTATATTAAACGACTATAAACAACCTCATCTTAAAAAAAATATTTTGCATGCTGTGTTGACGTTATCTCTATAATGCTATTGATTGCTGCAGCAGTTTTGTAAAATTTAAAAAATGAGGCTGTTTTTCCGGTGCACCGGTACATTATTTGCCAAAAAAGTGATCTAATAGTTGCTAATTAAGTGGACAAATATGTGTTTCTGGATCTTGCACAATTCTAAGAGCGATTTGTGGAGAGTGAAAGGCGGTCCTGTGGCACGTGGTCGTGGTCGTGGTCGCGTCTCTTCGAGTCTCTCTGTTGTAATAAAAGCCCAAAGAAAGCGAGAGCGAAACACTCGGAACTGGGTCAACGCATAACGATACGGGTTTAGAAATGTGATCGATGATTACTACAATATATTATACAGGTTGATGATTTATTAAACGGATTATGGTAATAGTAAACAATAACAACATGAAACGCAATATAAACTTTAAGGAACCCCCGGCACGAATAACGACTACGAGCAAAAGATGTCATTAATCAAAAACGAACCCACTTTTCTATGGTGATAGGGGGCGTCCGTTAATCACGTGAGCTTTAAAGGGGAAGGAAGGTTTGACAAAAAATTACCAAATTACACGTGGGGGAGGGGAAGGTTTAGCAAAATATCACGTGTATTTATTTTACACCTCAATTTTAAAAAAATCTAAAATTAAAAAAATAAAAAAATACAAGAAATTTACGATTTTTTCTAGATACTAAAAATACACGTGATGTTCACCAAGTATCACGGAGGACCCAAAAATCCTTAGAAATCGCTCACGTGATTAATGGACGCTTCCTTATCACTTTGCCACATGTTTTATTATTATTTTGTGAAACTAATATCTTATTCACTTGATATTGAAATCGTTAGTGCTGTTTATATTATCGCAACAAAAAATATTCCTTTCTTTTTTCATTTTTTTCTAAACATTTTCAAAACATACATGTTTTCGTACGTGAATGAATTATATAATTATTTTTATTTAATAATTAGTTCACAATTAGAAGGCCTACCCCAGGGTAACATTATATAAAAAGTTATATACTTATAATTACATTAGCAGGAGCAGATTGCAATGAATGTCGTGAAATAGAAAAAAGCTTTTAAAAACTTTATCAAATTCTATTTCGGATGCATCATGAATTTTATTATAATAGCGCCGAATAATAAACCAATATTTTTTAATTAACTATTTAACAACAAAAAGCGACAATGCAATCCTATGCATCATATATGTGTCAAGGTGTTACAAATGTTCTTGCCGTTGATTTATTCCAAATAAAAAAACATTATTATAAATAACTGAATTCAAAAACTGTGTGAAAATAGTTGTATACATTAACCTTGAATCGTAGAAAGTAAATTGCTAGTGTATTACGGGAATTACCACATTACGAGTTCGGTCGTAATAATTCGGGATTTGTTCTAAAACATTAGTCTAAATACTGTTTTATGACCATGCAGATTCAGTTTAGTCAGTGAATAAAAATTGAAAATATCGACTCATAGGAGGACTTCCATCTATAGTACTTCATTTTCTTTGAAAAAGAAAAATACTTCATTCCAGTAAAGCCTTGTAGCCTTCAAGGCATTTGCAAGGATTGCAACTATCATAATAAAAAAACAACTGCAAATAAAAGCCAATGCTTTTACGAACAACTTTTTGCAGATTGTCAATGCTGGTCAGTTTCTACAATTAGCGCGAGGATGAACAAATGCATAATTATTAATTCATTTTTAGACCTATTTATTTCGATGCGAGGACGTGTTAGATGAAATTAATTTTATTTTTTTGTTCCTGTAATTGCGCACTACAGAATTATATAATATAATAAGTATTTCATTAAGAGATGTTTGCGGTTTGGTATGTTATATCATACATTACCCATACATGTTCAGAGTGAATATTAAGGTTACTGAACGTGTTTGTATTTTTTTTTTTCAATTTTTAATATTGAGTAATGTGGAATTAGATTCTTGTTAAATGGATGTATATATGCATTACCCATATACGTACATCATTAGACAGGTTTATAA